TCAATAATGTTGTTGTAAGCTACTGTTATTACCTGCATCTCTCTCTCTGTCTCTCTCTCTGTCTCATTGTGTCATACGGATTACTGTTAATTTATTATGCTGATCTGTTCTGTACGACATCTATTGCACGTCTGTCTGTCGTGGAAGAGGGATCCCTCCTCAGTTGCTCTTCCTGAGGTTTCTACCGTTTTTTTTCCCCGTTAAAGGGTTTTTTTGGGGGAGTTTTTCCTTATCCGCTGCGAGGGTCATAAGGACAGAGGGATGTCGTATGCTGTAAAGCCCTGTGAGGCAAATTGTGATTTGTGATATTGGGCTTTATAAACAAAATTGATTGATTGATTGATGTGTGAATGGATGTTGCAGTGGAGACATTTAGAGGTGGGGATAGACTGAAAACTCCTGTCTGTCTGATATCCCAACCACGTGCTTTTGTTGCCTAAACCAAACCCAACCACGTGCATTTGTTGTTGAAGACAAAAACATCAAATTGCGGTGTTGTATGGACATAGTGTGTTTATTTTGAAAGAGACGGTATGCAAACTGTACATTTCCTGTGAAAACATAAGTGTATTTTGATAACAGGCAATGCATGTAACAGGCAGAAGCTGACATGGCGTCCCAGAATGTCACCCATCAACACACCCAGTGTACCTTGAATGCAACCTGATCTCACAGAAATATGTGAAATGACCACGACCTCTTAACACCGCATTCCGTGGTGGCAGCACGTAATGGGTTGAAATTACGTGCCGGTACCACGGAAACAATTCCAATGTAAAGTTAATTAGGATTCTTTGTCGTGGTGGACACAAAGATTCCATGGTTCAACAACGTCATGTCAACCTCATTTTCCTCAATGATATCTTTAACATTTCTGTATACACACAAAAACGAAACGAAAGTGTCCTTGATAACTCAGCAATATGATGGGTTAATGCTAAGGCCATAAAATAAAATTTTAGTAGTAGTATTTAGTATTTAAGTATTTTGCCAGCTTTTGATAGTGGTGCAGTGGGCAGATGTGGCACGTTCGACTACTGTTTTGTGTTTGTGGGCTTCATTCCATTTCAAATTGCCGACTGTATGCCGCAACCGAATCCAAACACCACTATCTCTGCTAAGAAAAGTGCCCCCCATCCCCAACAGATCCCCCACAGACCCCCCTCACCTCCCTCACCCCCATCCCGATGTGATTAAAAAAAAGAAGAAAAATAAAATACAAAATAAATAAATAAATAAGAAGAAAAAAATAGGGCTAAGCACGGAAGAGCCTGGCTAATTTTCGATATTTTAGCGAGTACTCTAGAAACAGCATTTTTGGGACGGTAGTTTTTTGCAGCTTGTTGTAAGATAAAGTTGTAAAAAGATATATCTACTGCATATATTAAATATCTGTCATGATCTACCCAGCCTGTTACCTGCTGCTCTAGGAAACTTCCACTCACCCTGACTCCTCCTCACTCACCTACCAGCCACACCTCCTAATCAGTCTCATCACTCCCACCTGGTCTTGCCAGCTGCTCCACATCACCAATCAGCCCTGCATATAACCTCACAGATTCACTTACTCATTGCCAGATTGTCTTCGCATTATGCCTGACCTTCCTGCAATCTTCTTTGGACTGACTTCCCGGTATTGACTCGGCTTCTCTTCTCGTCTCTGCCCTGGTAAACACTACAGCCTTCCGTTCCTGACTACGGGTTTTGCCTGTGAGTTTTCTGGTCTCCGTCTGCTGTTAGCTAGTGATGGTGAAATCAAAGCTTCATGAAGCATTGAACCACTTTGACACACCTGCTTCAGGAATGACACACTGCTTTGAAGCATTTCATGCAGTCAGAAGAGTGACATCTGCTGGCTGTGTGTCAGAACTGCATCTAAGTGGAAGACCTGGAAAAGCCTTAAGCCTCGCTCCCAGTATCCACGTGATTGTGGGCGTGCCTAAGCAGGGATCGAAACACTGCCTCGGGACACTTGCGCTTCAAAAGATCGACACTGTGTCGAGCAAACTGGCTTGAGCGTAACATCACTAGTGTTGGCTGTGTGGCGATTCACCGCTCCTGTTTTCCCTGTCCTGCCGGTTCTTCGATCCTCTGCCTGCTCTCGACAATCCATCTGTCTGCTCCCGCTGGTTTCGTCTGCATCGCTGTCTGTTCAACGGCTCTCGGCCCGACTTCTCACCGTCCTGAAGCCTGCCTGCCCCGTTGGTCCTGTGGTAACTCCCTCACCTGGCACACGGGAGACCTGCCTGAACACTCGCTGCATAACTGTTTAATAAAGACTGTTGCTACTACTACTGGTGCATTTGGGTCCTGCCACACACTGTGACAATATCTAGTAAAGCCGAACTAGTAATTACACTGCATCTAGATGAACTATGTTAAGAAAAAGTAAGGATGTTGGTTATTTTATTTTATTTATTTTTAGATATTTTAGCTAGTACTCTAGAAACGGTGTTTTTGGGAAGATAGATCTTCCGGTTGTGGAGTTGTCAAATAGTGTCGTAAAAAAGTAAATCTACTGAATATATCAAATATCTAGTACAGCCGAACTATCATGTCATTATTATTATTATTATTATTATTATTATTATTATTATTATTATTATCATTATCATTATTATTATTATTGATGGGAAATTATGACAGAGGAATATATTTGCCGTTTTAATATCAAGAACACTTTAGTGTTTTTGTGTGTATACAGGATGTTGTTGAACCAGGGAATTCATGTGTCCACCACGACAAAGGATCCTAATTGACTTTACATTGGCATTGTTTCCGTGGTACCGGCACGTAATTTCAACCCATTGCGTGCTACCACCATGGAATGCAGTGTTAAGAGGTCATGGTCATTTCACGTATTTCTGTGAGATCAGGTTGCTTGAATGTCATATTTTGACATGGAAAGTTTGTGACCAAACGTTGATATGTGATGAGGTCAGAGTGAAAATGTGTTGCATGTTTAGCCTCTTTAAATCAATAAATCAAGATATGCCTGTCCTACTGTAGTTGTCTGTAAAGTTTGTCAGCCAGACAGTTACCACTTCATGTGACTTTAATAACTCTCACATGACTGTCATGGTACCAACAACAACTCAAATGTGACCTCACAACACTAATCTGACATAAATATGTAATGACCTGAGAATATTTAAATGCCTAAGAACTCTTACTGGTCAGAAGAGCTGATGAAGCCTCTTGATGAGAAACAAAACAGACTAAGATAAATCCACTTGCCTTTAACTCCTGGCTACTCTGATTATTCTCATCCTGCTATGATGCTTCTGTTAACAAAAACATGTAAACAACCAGGCTAGGCTTGAACTTCTCTTTGCCTGAGTCAAATTTTTGTGAGCCTGCTAGTGATCATTTTATTCTGTGTCTGTGCTCCTTCATCCCTGTAGATATGGACGAGTGTCATCGAGTGGTCTCCTGAGGGCAGCTCCAGCTGCATCCCCAAAGCCTTGCTCGTCTTCTCCTGGCAGGACGGCTTCGCTGTGGTCCTTCTGACCTTTGCTGCCCTGGGCATCCTCCTGGCTCTGCTAGTGTCAGCTCTGTTTCTAAATCAGCGTGACACTCCTGTTGTGAAAGCTGCTGGGGGGCCGCTGAGCCAGATTATCCTGTTCTCTCTAGTCATCAGTCACATTAGTGCCATGCTGTTTGTAGGCCGGCCCAACAGTTTCAGGTGTAAGGCTCGACAGGTGCTCTTTGGCATCAGCTTCACTCTGTGTGTCTCCTGCATCCTGGTAAAGACCCTGCAGATCCTGCTTGCCTTCCAGTTTGATCCTGAGCTGCAGGAGATTCTACGGAGGCTCTACCAGCCTTATGTCATTGTTAGCATCTGTGTGGCCTTACAAGCAACTACCTGCATCTGCTGGCTGGTCCTTAAAAGCCCATTTAATCACACCATCAAGCATCCAACCACTCTGCTGGAGGACTGTAATGAGGGCTCATATCTGGCCTTTGGGGTGATGTTGGGCTACATAGCTGTTCTGGCTTTAGTGTGTTTCATTTGTGCCTTCAAAGGCCGCAAACTGCCACAGCAGTACAACGAGGCCAAGTTCATCACCTTCAGCATGCTGCTCTACCTCATCTCCTGGCTGCTCTTTGTTCCCATCTACGTCACCACTTCAGGAGTGTACCTTCCAGCTGTGGAAATGGTAGTCATTCTCATCTCCAACTATGGCGTCCTCAGCTGTCATTTCCTCCCAAAGTGCTATATAATCCTTTTTAAGAAGGAACAAAATACCAAGAGTGCTTTCAGAAAGAATCTGTATGAATACTCCAACAAAACAGCAGTAGCTGTCTCTGTGTCTGCAGTGACAGACTGTAGGGACGTGAGTAGCTGCACAATTTTGCACAAAGGTTTGATCACACGACACTGCCTCAGAAGAACCATCAGCATATAGACCATTAACAAATTGTTGCCAAAGATTTAGATATAGAGACTCATCGTACTGTGGAAGGACCTATGTGGTGTTACATGTACACTACTCAAGATATATGACTTCAGTTCAGTTTTCTTCATTAGACTTATTTCCCCCCTACATGGATTTCATCCCAGATTCTCATCCCTTTGTTTTAGATGTGGTCTAGTTGGCGGCACTTTTCTTCATTTTCTTCATTGCACCAACTACAAGACTTTTGGCATCTCACTCAACTCAACTCAACTCAAATTTGTTTATAAAGCACATTTAAAAGCAACTAACATTGAGGTGTCGGTGGCTTAGTGGTAGAGCAGGCGCCCCATATACAAGGCTGTTGCCGCAGCGGCCCGGGTTCGACTCCAGCCTGTGGCCCTTTGCTGCATGTCACTCCCTCTCTCTCTCCCCCTTACACACTTAACTGTCCTATCAATTAAAGGCAAAATGGCCCAAAAAATATCTTTAAAAACAACTAACATTGACCAAAGTGCTGTACAGAAGGAATAAAATGCCAAGAACACATACATGAGAGGCAATATAACTGCTCACACATTTAGAGACACAACACACATAGGCATGCATCAGGGAAAGCCACATCAGGGTGACTCAAACGCTAATAAATAAAAGTAAGTTTTGAGCCTGGACTTAAAAGAATCAATTGCGGGGGGCGGATCTAATTGGGAGGGGGATGCTGTTCCATAGTTTTGGGCCAGACAAAGCAAAGGCACAATCACCCCTGAGCTTAAGTCTGGAGCGTGGGACAGCCAGGAGCCCCAGGTCAGCTGACCTGAGGGACCTGGGCATAGAATAGGGGGTTAGAAGGTCTGCGATGTAGGATGGGGCATCTGTGATGCTTTATCCACAATCGATGAAGTTACTTTACCAATGGATCCTAAAGGTATGCCTTCTGGGCAACCTTTTGAATTCTAATATCATACATAGTCCTTCCATCAAACTTACAGAAATCCTACTGACCACTGCCAAAAACCATAATGCAATGAAATGGGAGTCAGATCTCCCGATGCCAGCTGGATTCTGGTTCTCAGAAAACAACAGTTGCATACCTCTGGAGAAGATAACTTACTCACTAAGGAAAAAGATCCATTTTTTTCTGTAAAATAGTGCATCCTTTTATCAACGACTTAGAGAATCTCCCATCTCATTTGATAGAGTGATTGTCTGCATGGTCTCTCTCTTCTTTCACCACACTAGTGTTATAAAAGACCATTTTGTTGTGGTTAATGTGGTTTGGGCAAAAAGGGGTAGGTATGTCAAATATTTTTTTTAGCACTGGGGAGGGGCTAATGTTATTTTATTTTGTCTTAGTGGAGGGGCATACAAATTTAAATGGCTGTATTTTATCACCAAAATTGCACCATTTATCATAGCCAGAAACTGTAAACTGTCAACTCCAGGAATTCAATTTCAGTCAATTTTCAATTTTATTCATAAAGCCCAATATTACAAATCACAATTTGCCTCACAGGGCTTTACAGCATACGACATCCCTCTGTCCTTAGGACCCTCGCAACAGATAAGGAAAAACTCCCCCCAAAAAAACCCTTTAACGGGAAAAAAAAAAACAGTAGAAACCTCAGGAAGAGCAACTGAGGAGGGATCCCTCTTCCAGGACAGACGGACGTGCAATAGATGTCGTACACAACAGATCAACATGATAAATTAACAGTAATCCGTATGTCACAATGAGACAGAAAGAGAGACAGAGAGAGAGAGATGCAGGACAGACGGTAATGTTAATAGCTTACAACAACATTAATGAAAGTACAGTAATAATATTATAATTATGATTCTGGCTACTGTGGTACAATATGTTTTAAGTATATATTAATATCTGATAGTATACATATGTGAAAATAATCATATGTGTATAATAACAGTAGAAGTATGACTAATGGTAACATCCTCATCTCCCTCCTCTGATAAGTAAAGAACAGTCCTTAAAGGCATAAAATTGTTTAGTCAACCCCTGCATTATGGGTTGTCACTAAATGCAAGCTGCTGGAGCAGCTTATCTTGTCTTTCCCCAACAAAGGAAAAACTTTCCCCAACAAAGAAAGAAAACTGACTTTGTAAAAAAAAAATAATAAAAAGCATTCAAAAGGTACGTAAGAGAGACATGGATCAAGGGGGGATGAGCAGGGGCCCACAGGGACTACCGATGCATAGGGCCCACATTTGGTGCTACACCCCTGTCTGTTGTCTGTAAGTTTAATTTTGAGGCATAATGTAACATGGGTGTTTTTGAGGTGTCAGTTTGTGACTGTGTGGTTTGTTTTATTTTGAAAAAACAAAACAAAATACTCAACAAAATAACAGTTGTGAGAAATAATTAATATTGATAATACTGTACAATTTGGAACTTTTTATCATAAAGATTACACATAATAAGATCTGAGCCTCCATTTTTGTGTTTTCTGAAATAAAAACTATAATATAAAATAGGGTGACCATATTTTGATTTCCAAAAAAGAGGACATTCGTCCGGCCACGACATAGCCTACTTAAATGATAGCCGCAGCTTACTCAAAGATGCCTTATCATTTTAATATATTTAAAATTTATATGTATGGATAGAAAATTCAATTATATTACAAAATAATATCTCTCAAAGACAGAAATTCAGATAGGCCCCAATAGGGGACACATACACACACTAGAGTGTGGTGATCCGAGCCCGACGGTACCCCACAGGTCGGGCGGGTTTGGTCAAAAATGTAGCTATAAATTGTATTCGGGCTTGGGTCGGATTCGGTCAGCTTTCAGTGGAAATGTAGTGTAAAAATAAATAAAATCCTATTGTCTGTCCTATTTATTGCTTGGAGACTGTTATTTACGTGACAACACCTGAACATAACACACCACATTTCCCACCAGAACACTGCGCTCTGAGAACGCAGGGTTACTCGTGGTCCCTAAAGTCTCCAAAAGCAGATCAGGCTCCTCTCCTGTGGAATCATCTTCCTGTTACGGTCCGGGAGGCAGACACTGTCTCCACATTTAAGACTAGACTAGACTTTCCTCTTTGATAAAGCTTATAGTTAGGGCTGGCTCAGGCTTGCCCTGTACCAGCCCCTAGTTAGGCTGACTTAGGCCTAGTCTGCCGGAGGACCCCCTATAATACACCGGGCTCCCTCTCTCTCCCTCTCTCTCTCTCTCTCTCTCTC